TTATATAGAGCATCAATTCACATAATACAGTCCAGTGTTTATTGTATCTATTTATTTTACATTCTCATTATGGTGATGTTGACTCACTGTGAATTCATTAACACAATTAGCTTATATGCCTGATCAACAATTACAAAGTTACAGTAATGTGCAAAACGACTGGAGCCAGAGCACTAACACAAAACGCAACATCGTGTGTGCCTCCCCTGAATGAGAACATATGATAAAAGGTGTGTTGGATAAAATGATATAGAGAGAGAAGGTGTTTTTACATTGCAGATGGTAGGTTATATGAAATAGCTCAACCCATTTGTTAGCTTAATATTAATGCATTAGAAGCCAATGAATTTGAGTACATGGAGTTCATGTGCCATCCCAGCATGCACACACACGAAATTAAATTCTTATGTAAGCGTTCTAATTTCAGACGCCTATGACTGTTTTCACACTCACGAGTAATGAAAGGCTGACTTTGGAATCGTGTTGATGTGATGTTACACTGTAAAGAAGCGAAATATTAAAAAAAAAATGACGCTGCTGGAGTAAAATTCATTTCTGAGCTTGTTTTGATTTTGGTGAATTAAAAATGTAAAAATTACAAATTAAATCTGTTGTTGTAATTTGGAACTCAGCAACTCTTTGTATCTGTGTAAATGTAAGTGTGTGTGTGTGTGTGTGTGTGTGTGTGTGTGTGTGTGTGTGTGTCTGTGTGTAAGAGTTGTCTCCTTGGCTCCCCTGAACTTGGTGGCCGCCCATCCAGACACCTCATGAAACCTGTAGGCTCAGCCCACAGTGCACACAGAGGAGCAAGTTGAGGGAGTTTGCCAAAAGAGGGTTATGGTGGAGTCAGGACATGGATGGGTGGGGTCGATGGGTCCAGCGAGGGGGGGGGGGCTGAGGGATGGTGGGGGCAGGTTGCATTGAAATGTCCGAGAACTTGGAGCCTAGTTTGTCATGCTAACTGCAGCGATGCCATTGAATGTGGACACAGGGAGCAGAAGGTTCACAGGACCCCAACCATTCTCATGCAAAGTCTGTCAGAGCCTTCTCCTTCGTACGTCCACCCACCCACCCCCAGCCTTTACTCTTATAGAAGAAATACATACATGTTTATAAATGGACACACACTAACTAAAGCCAGGGCAGGGTGCCCCTTTCTGTATGCATGCTGTGTGTGCAAAACTGTGAAGTTACATGGAGTAACAATGGAAAATAATCTTTAAAAAAAAACAAAAACACGACACCTCTTCCGAAAATATGACTGACTCGCTGAAATGAAACTGAATGAACAACAGTGTAATCTCACAGCTTTATTTGTAAGATGCTGCATTTAAGACAATAAAAGTTATATTTTAAATATAAAGCAACATGAATGAAGAACTGGTCCTGAAATTGACAACATTTACTAACGAAACCTTGAATCTCTGCAGCATTTGAGACAACAGAAAGCCTGGGACAAGGAAGGAAAATGAAGGCAGCTGCATACGTACTGTATCATCATAATTACTAGTTGTGAGAAAGGAATGCAGCCTAACTCACATTAACACTCATCTTTAACTTCGTGTGACCTTGACACTACCTTCACAGGCACAAAACTGCCCTCATTTCCTGACTGATTGTAAAAAATAATTATGTTCCTTGTGTTCCAACAAACACAAATTCTATTTAAATTTCTATTTTGGCATCTCTATTAAATCAGCTGCACTGCCTGATTCTTATTTCTACTTGCTGCTGTAGTCTCCACCGCTCACCTCTCATCTGTTTCACCTGATCCAGAGACCGGGGGAAGCTACAACTCATTTAGTGTTAAATCTGTTCAAATGCCAAGTGGTTAAAATGTCAGCTGAGGCACTAGCACATACACCTATACATTTACTGTCTTTAAATGCAAACACTCCATGCAAATTAATGTGCTACACCCCCCCACCGCCCACTCCCTCCGCCCTCGAAACAGTGAGGAGAAGTAACAAGCATATATTCTGTGTGTGTGTGTGTGTGTGTGTGTGTGTGTAGGTGCCCAGATTTATGTGCTCAGATTTATGCGTACTACAGTTTCACAACCAGGCATTGAAGGAGTCTCCATTTGTGTGTGTGTGTGTGTGTGTGTATGTGTGCATAAGTGTGAAAATGTGTGTGTTTGTGCCCCCTCATCTGCACTTGGAGCCGCCGTTTGGAGCCTGTATTTGATTGAGTGAAGGCCAACGCAGCCTGAACACTCCCTCTAATGGAAGAGTGGAGCCCAGCAACTCGGTAATGCACTGACCCCAGAGCTTTTACAACGCTGCCAGCCGATAAGTGGCAATATGCTGGATCTTATAAAATTAACAAGACTCAGCTTATGGGGAGAGGGAGCTCGGAGGGTGGCGACGGGAGAGGATGACATCCCTATAGAACTTGTAAATATCTGCATGAATGTAATATTATAGCTGTTCTTGACTGAGTTTTATAGTCACGGCACCACGATCTGATATTTTCTCACTCATTTCTTGGCTTTTTTTAAGGGAAGTTTACGGGGAAACCTTTACAGGCCCGTTTATGTTGGATAAAACGTCTCTCAAGGCGTTTTAATGCTGCTGAATTTATGGAAGCTGCCGTGAGGGCCAGGTGCTGGAGAAGCGAACGCTGAGCAGGCCTTTGAACTGCTATCCCACAGCACCACATGGGGTGTGAACATGTGTGTATATGCATATGTTTACCATACACTCCCTCCTAAACCTCCTGCCTTGTGACATCTACAGTATGAGCTCACGGTTAAACAGCTCCTATGCCTGGTTATGCACCATCTGTTGTGTTTTGAGTAGAGAGGGCCACATTCACAGAACCGTTTTTAAGTGCTCTGAAATACGAAAATGCAAAATGATATTACAGCTGCAGCCACTGTCTCAACGCATCCGAATCTGATTTACTACTGAAAAAGGCTTTATTCCTGTGTGCCTCCCAGTTTAACCTCCTCACCTTTCTCACACAGGATCAGGCTGGGTTTGTGTGCATTCTCGCCCATATACTGTGCATCTGTGTGAGAGTGTGTGTGTGTGTGTGTGTGTGTGTGTGTGTGTGTGTGTGTGTGTGTGTGTGTGTGTGTGTGTGTGTGTGTGTGTGTGTGTGTGTCTGTGTGTGTGTGTTTGTGTGAACAGCTATTGTCTGCCACCGCTCCAGCAAGGGCTTCAAAGTGAATTATTCATGCGAGATTTGAATACATGCAAATGGTTCACTCCCTTCTCCTGGCACAGATCCAGGTTACCTATGGCAACGGCGCCTTCAAGAAGTATCTTTCCACCCCTCCTCCACCTCCTCCTCCTCCTCCTGCTTCTCTCAGGCACCCGCCCTCCGACCATGTTATCCACCCAGTGGTATTGTTTCGATTGTTGCAATACCAGGCTGGGTGGCTGCACACTGTAGGGTGGCAGGATATCCCATAATTCACAGTCAAGGTCATATAGGCAGAGAGGATGAGAGACAGAGGGATGGGCAGATGGAAGGAGGGCAGGGTCCCTCCATCCAGCCGCTCGGATGTGAAGTTCAGGAGACGACACTCAGTAGCTGGTAAAGAAGAAAAAGCGGTTTCAGGTGGTGAATGATGTTATCACCAATGCGACAGACTGGACACACACACTCACCTATTCACACTTAATCACAGCTCATGCGCATGAACCAGTGCTGCAAAACCGGAGGAGCACAGGAAAAAATCACCACCTCTGAATGCAGCATACCATACAGCAATATCTACTTTATTTATATATATTTGAAACAGTAATCAGTCACTAATAACTGAAAAAATATTTAAACCTTTTAATATTGTATTGTCGGGTAGTATAAAGTTATATTTGATCTAAAATAAACGATAAATAAAGACTAAGACTGATGTGTGTGGCTTCCTCAGTCATGTTTAATCTATTTGATGGAAATATAAACAATGCTGTTTAAGGCTTGAATGTAGACAGAGTGATGGAAAATTTTAATAAATGAATTATTGAAAATCATATTTGTTTTTTTTCTTGTTTATTTTCAACATAATGGCAACTAATTTCTGGGTATTTTTGTTGACTGTGTTCCTAAGATTGTTTTTTTTTCTTTGTTTTTTTTTAGCAATACCTTTATAATAGAGTTTAAATAAATAACAATGAATAAAAACATTATTTAGAGGACATTATCTCAATTTTGTTAAAGATTTCCGTCATAATTCTCTTACCCGTACTTCCACCGCCATTTATCATAACATCTGTGTATAAAGAACAAAAGAAAAATATATAATACATTAAGTATTTATACCATATTTTACTGACTAATTACTCCATGTAATGTCAAGAAATATGAATTCACTGGTTTTCTTTTTCACATAATTTTGTTCAGTATTGTAGACACATAAAAAAAAAAAAAATTGTATTTGCACCATTCACAAAGTAACACCATTTTTTAAACAGAGTGCTTTAATGAAAATACAAGAGTAAAATAGGAGTAACAGTGTCTCAGTGAGCCGAGGGCAGGTCAAGTTCAGGCCATGAGGTGATCAGAGCCTAACTAACCTCCATAATGGTCCAGGACGCACAGGGAGGAACAGCTACTCAATGCTGCCATCTACTGCAAAAGAACGGACATGTGGTGTCAAGCACATGTAGGTCAGAAATCATTAATCAAACTTATTCTTTGCGTGTTTTGGTAAGCAGATAAGACATATCGGATATTGTTATTCAATTCTACTTCAAGTCCAGCTTCAGTTCTTTCAGCAAGAAAGGGTGAGAAACAGGTTCATTAAACCTTTGTGGTGTTGTAGTGTTGTCATTAACAGTTATTTTTCAGCTGTATTTTTAAACTCTGTGGTTGTACATGTGAAGGCTGAAGATTGCTGTGTGCCTCATGATAAAAAGAAAAAACCTATTGTTACTATACAACCCTTACATTTCAGTTTGAAATGTCAATCCGCTCTTTGATGACGCTGATGGTGAGATTACCTTTGCTTATCACATGGCGCCCTCAAGTGGACAAAAGGATTGATCGCTCAGTGTTTTGTATGGACACTTTATTGCATGGCCAGTTATGCTTGAGACAACTGTAAAGTTACATCTTTGGAAATACTGGATTTTGAAATGTACATTAGCAGTTGAAGTATGATTATTATTTACTCAACATGAAACTGAGATCAGTGCTTTGGCATATTTAGATGTTTTAGGCGCCTTACATTCAAGTAAAAGCAGTGACAGAATCTGCACAACAATATGAGCACAGTATAAAAATGAAATCATAATAATATGTATATAAGCCAAAATCTGTATTATATATATTTATCTCTCATATCTGATTAACCTCCACATATTAGACTTTATAACATCATACCACACAACCTCAGTGCTGGAAGGACAGTGAAACTGTGCAGTCCTGCTGACATGATCACCCTCCTACAATCATTTGTTCCGTCAATCTCAGTTACATCCACACCGGCACCATCATAAAAATTGAAATTTAAAAACATATTGCATAATCACCCCTTTTGTTACCGGGTACAAATCACACATCTTGCATGATCGGGTTATTTGAAATAATCAAAAAGGATACAGGAATTAGTTGAAAGAAACATTATAGGTCTAATAAAGTGCAAGCGTTAGATTATCAACACAACACAAACAAACTCCTCCATATTCATCTATCAAAAATAAGTCTTCATCCACTGTTAATCACTTGAGCCACAACGATGGTACCATGATTTCAAAACAAAGTTGTGATTGTGTGAACGAATATTTGAAGACACTTTTTTTGTTCACTCACTCAGCCGACTTTAGATACTGTGTTTCTGTGTGCACAACAGACCTTCCGTCCACACTCATCCTCTCCTCTGACATCCTGTCTGAAGGGAACAGGAGAGTGCAGCAGGACAGCCCTGCACTGAGTGCAGAGACTTATTATTGCCATATAACAGACTTGACCACCTCTCTCATGCCAGTCTCATCTGTGCTTTTTCGCTTCCCCTCTGTCGCTCCTAACCGATTCAGTGAGTAAAGTAGCCCATCTGATGCAATTTGAGCAGAAGGCTGTGTGTGATGTCAAATGTGGTGAAGCTGATCCCCACGGCAACGGGCCCTTTAAGCCAGTTCATGCTCAGGCCTTTGTATAGTCCACGTACAACTCCCTCCTGTGTTATAATCTCACGCATGGTCCCCAGAATTGTGCCGTAGGATGAGCCGGTAACGCCGGCCGTCTGCATGCGCCTACGTACCACGTCCAGAGGGTACGAGGCAGACTGTCCAATCAGGCCTGCGCAGGCACCGAAGGCCAAGCGCTCATGAGGGTAAGGTTGGGATCGCTTCGTTTTTTCTACAGAGAGAGAAAGAAAACACAAAGAAAGAAGGAGTTCAACATCTAACATATTCCAAATATTCATCTAAATATCTAAAATTTCACTGCACTGAAATGGATGCAGACATTGAAAGAAAAGGAAAAGTCTTATTCTTCATTACCTGTGTGTAGCTTCTTGAGGGTCTCGTATGTAAAGAATGTGATCCCTGCGTATGGGATGACACCCAGAATAGTGGGGGTGAAACCTCTGTAAAGGGTCTTCACACCTTCCTCTTGGGAGATGCGCACAAAAACATGCATGATGTTGCTGTACCTGTTGGGGAAAAAAAGAAGTGTCAGACAACACAAATTATTTAATGTGTTCAAAAACATCCATCACTGCCAAAATGCAGAAACTACATATTTGGTCAATATTGAGTTAAGATTAGAATCTGACTTTCTGACATCTGTTTAACCATATCAAAATTATCATGCCATAGAAAAATGTAATTTGCCAACAATACATCATGTAAAATTTGCAGGAACTACAAAACAAACATAAAAACCAAACTGCACTTCGGGTACTGCACTTAAGGCTAACTGGAGTGCAATCTCTAGCTAGCTCATTTACAGGGTGGTTTCCTGTAATTGAAAAAAAACATTTTGATGCTCCAACATTTTAGTAATTTAGTTTTTCATATCACACAAATAATGGAATAGCTAAATATACTACAACACAAACACTGTCCACAAATACAGTATAGTGTCTTATTCTATCTGACAGGGGGCAACACAACATGGTATTGTGAGACATTTAGAAACTGTTATGCACTGCAATGGTCCATGTTGTTGTAATGTAAAGGACAACAGTGGGACTAATACTTGTTATGGGAATGTAACAGGGGACAGGAGCTTACATTTCTCTGGCGGTGACGGCCATCCGGGCTCGCACCATGTCCAAAGGGTAGGTTAGCATAGCAGCAGTTGTGCCGGCAAGAGAACCAGCCAGGAAACGTGGGAAAGGAGGCAGCGCTCTGAAACAAACAACACAATTAACGTAAGTAGCAGAAAAAAAAAAAACAAAGAAAACTTTTTTGCTGGTTAAAAACCCAACTTTGCTGCTCCACAAGAAAAAAAAAAAAAAAAAGCTAAAAATGTTTTCATAATCTGATGGGTGTACAATCAGAATGCTAGCATGCTCACGATGACAATGCTAGCAGATGTAAAAGTTCGCATTCTTAGTTTACCATGTTAGCATGCTAGCATTTTCTTATTAGCACTGAACACAAAGTATGTTCAGCATAATGGGAATGTCATTAGTTTTGCAGGTATTTGGTCATAAACCAAAGTTTTGCTTGATGAAAAAACAATGTTATTACAACACATCCTCCAGAGACCATGAATTTCTGGAGGAAATTTCAAGGCAATGCATTCAATTGTTCTCGATTTATTTCAGTCAAAGTTGACAACTGACCGACCTACACTGATATCCGTAGAGCCACGCCGCTAGCATGACTAAAAACCTCTAATATCTCAATTAAATCATCACTACTGACAGAAAAGTTCTTTACTCACTTTCCCTGGTAGCCGAAGTAGCTCCCCAGTAGTTTTTTGTACTGTTCGTGGGAGCAGAACTGGATGGCAGCATAGGGCATGACCCTCACCATGGTGGCAGAGTTTCCCCTCCACAGACTGAGCAGCCCATGCTTCATGTACGTACAGTAAATGAGCCTGAAAGCCTCCTGGGTACAACAGACACAGTATAGCATGTTGGTTAGGAGCAGAAGTCCTTCACATTTTCTACACTGAATATTCTAATAATCAAAATACGCTCAAGATATTCCCACTGAATAATTAAATGTACAGCCGCACATTAAGTTTGTATGAGAGTGTTTGAAAAAGGATGTGAAATAACACTTCAGCAGAGATTAACTACATACATCCTGGGGTTGAAACTAAAGATGATTTTCATTATTGATTTAATACAAATTAAATAGGATTGGTTTAATGACAAACGATGATGGCAAGTGTTATTTTATGTTTATGTATACTATGTTTTTCCTGTTTTGTCAGTCAGAAATAACAGGAAAGCGAGTAAATACATATGTGAGAAGCTGTAACCGTCAATTGCTTGGTATTTGTACTTGCTAAATGATAAAGGATTTATATCAAAATTGTAATAATTATTTCTGTCATTGATTAATTGATTTATTTGTCCAGCATTAATACATTCTACCTATGTACTGCCTATCATTACACCCTCACATTAACTTGGTAAAGAATGAATCAGAATGAATCAATGATTGATTTTCTGATAGAATAGACGACTGAACTCACCTTAGCTGAGAATCTTTTGGAGGACACTGTGAAACAACAACATACACAGTAAATCTCAGGGTTTAACAACACACTCTCCCATGTAGGCTAAACATCTACTAAGAGGATTAGCAAATACTTAAGAACAGTTACCAAAGTCAGTGAAAACTTTGGTACAAACAGAAAAACAGTAGTTTGATTTTCTATGGGGAGTAAAACAAAAGTGAAGTCACTTACATACGGTATATCCTATTTATCTGTATATTCTATATTTGAAAAGCTAGTTTTAGTGTCGTTCTTGCCTTGGAAAATGATCTTGGTCCGATCCAGAGGTGCAATGACCGTTTTTGCCACAGCTCCAGCAAACGCACCACACAGCAGGGAGTCCAGAGCAGTCCATCTGGGCCTCAAGTCCTGTTTGTACACACACAGACATGTTTATATTGCACTATGAGACATTTTGTCACATGACAAGTTAGATATCTTCAAGACTGTACAGTGGTAATGTAGTATGGACAAAGAAAGTTTAATCATTTATTTCTCTTTATTTGCATGTTTGGTTTTCACAAGCAAGTACCACGAACATATGTTTAACAGCACAGTCACTCCCATGTCTATCACTCAGCAATGATAACAGCGAACAGCAGCAAAAGAGAACATTGAAATCTGCTCGTGGATTAACGCCAGAGTGACTCAACTGTTTGTGACAGAATCACAAGAGATAACACCAACCTGTGTGTGAAGTTGAACCATTTGAGTGTGTGTGTGTGTGTGTGTGTGTGTGTGTGTGTGTGTGTGTGTGTGTGTGTCCGCACTCGTTCAGCTGGAAGGGACAGTTGAACCCAATAAACAATCTCACTGACTGATAAGAAGAGCTTTTGGCACGTATAACAAACATGTTTCACAACTTCAACCAGAGAGGAGGGAAGACACGGTTTAGGATTTCATTCATTTACATGTATAATTAGATCTATAAACCATATAACTATTACAGCTTATTATTGTCTGAGGTCAACTGCAGCCAACTTTATTGTAAAATTTGGCATTAGTCAGGCACTGCTCATATCTTAAAATAAGCTTAATTTCAGTGTTACAAACAAGTCTTTATAAACAAATGTAATTATATATATATATATATATATATATATAAACTAAAGTAAACAAGGGTCAGGATTCTTATTATTCAGTGCTACTTACTGCATTACATTGTAAACTAAGGCCAGCTTTAGATTAGCAGGCACCTCCCTGCTATTTACAGCAATGTACTGGGAGAGGCATGCCCTTCTAAAGTATGGATAGTACCAGGAAAGCTCTTCTGCATGTCACAACAACAGCCCCAGGACACTGAACAGAGCCTGACAGTCACACAGTATGGTCTGTTTTATGGCTGATTATAAAGAAATCATACCACAAAGGAATTTATGTTATTAATAAAATCATAACTTGGATTTTTATAGCACCTTTCAAGGTACCCAAGGCTGCTTTACAGGGAAAGAAACACCAAATGAATAAAGAACAAATAAATGAAAACAAGACCAGCAGAATAGGGATGTTCTCTTTAAATGCATCTGTTAATACACACAGCCTCAAAGTTTTACACTTAAGACTGCCAAAGGCTGACAGACCTGGTTTTACTACTTTCTGGTCAATGATTAGATTCTGCCTCAATTTCCAACATGTGCTTTTGTAAACAGGGTCAGAAAAAATGTAGTTCAACAACAACTTGAAAAGCAGTTCATGCCCAAACTGCTCTAACGTGTCAAAACAGGTGCCACATTTAATCCTCTGTGCTCAAGCATAACATGTTAATAAGTCATAAGGGAAACAATACTCACCTTTGCTTGGCTGGTAGGCGGCAGAGCCAGCACCGTGGCCTGGGCCACGGGCAGACGGCTCTGATGGTCGTGCACACGGTGGGCCATGTGTGCCCTTCACGGAATACCAAGGCTGTTCGACACTCAGTCAGTCATTCAGGAAAACACTCTGTAGATGATATTTACAGGAAATTTTTTACAGCAAAATATGTGGCTGGCAAATAAAAAAGATACTTCTCTATACAAAATAAAAGCGCGCCGTGTCGTACTGTCTCAGTATATTTAACATTAAGGAGAGTAAGTGATTACACGAACGCCCATACCCTACACAAACAATCGGCCTGGCTTGTAAACAGGGTATTGCATTACAAAAAAACGATCCATCGTCCTTTTCCAGCATAGAACCAAATATACAGTTAATAATAATCAAACATCACAGCGGCGCACTTGTCAGTTTCCTAAATGGGGGCAGATAATAACTTAGTGACCACACCTCAAATAAATAAACTGCGAATGATAGTTCAAAGATAGTACAAATAATATAAAACATATAAACAGGCCTATGCATTGTTGTTGTGGTTACATCCATAGGTGCAATGATTGACTGCTGCATTTTGTTACCTTCGTTTATGTGCAAAAGGGCCCCGTGTTTACAGATCTTCGCTGTGTTATATCAGTCACCAGTCTGCCCTGCAGATTCGTCCACTCATTTCTTGTTTGCTCGCTGGAGGCTTGTCAGTCGCTGTTATTAACTTGCCACACGCTGCGGTGTGTTCGCACGTCTTTTCACGTCGTAGACGTCTCTGAAGATGATTGTAAAAGACAGGTGTCCAGCTGCAGCGGAGTGTGTTGTGTATTTATAGCCGATGCCTTCATGGATATTCTGCTCAGAGCTGCTGCCTGGTTCTGCGCACAAGATTGTTTGGGCTTTTCAAGGTCTTTAAGAAAGTGGGGCAACGTATTCTGTATTTTGGACTACAATACCCAAGAGCTAATCCTAGTAGTTTGATGAAATCTCGCGGGTTTATCCACAACATTGGGTTGCCAGGTTTGTTGATGACGTAGAACCAACGTGGACTATATTTAGTTCATATAAACTTGCCATTCTTTTAATACCTTTTCTTACATGCAGAACCTTTAGTCAGAGCAGTCTCCCCACAAACAACCACCACATTTAAACTAATTGTATATTGTTCATTTTCTTTTATTTCAGTTAAAGAAAGAATACATTCATTTTAAAGATTAAATGTATGTAAAGACATTTGAAACTGCCTCATGCATGAATAGTGCAATATAAATGAAGGTATCTTTCTTTGATTAAGAATTCATAAATTAAACTAATCACCATTTTATCAGTATTGCTTTTCAAGAGTTCTACCATTGCGTTTGATGTGATTACTTCTTTTTCGGGATTCCATATAGTAGCTATTCTGGAAAGTTTGATATGATAGAGATAAGATAGAGATAAGATGGGGTTTTTTTGTACAAAACAAATTGTACATATTATATTATGTTGTATTTTTTGTGATGTATTTTTGTATTAATCAAACCAAAAATACAGATTATAATTTCTCAAAGTCCATTATTAAATTGCTTGGTTTGCCTGACCACCAATCTGGAGGCCAAAGTTATTCAATCTACAATGATATGAAGACAAGAAAGAGATCAAGTAAAATGATTAATTTAAATGATGATCCCTCTTAGAGTGTTAAATAACTGACTGTGTTGCATGAAACCTCAAAAAAAAGTAAGAGTCACAAGATATAAATTACTAAAAACACAAGTGCCCCACAATAAAATAGCTGCAGCCCTTGAGAAAACATATTCACTTGCCTTCCTTTTATAAAGGTGCTTTTTTATGTAAAATATTTCTAACTTGGCAAAGACTTATCTTTTGTATGTGCTCAGGGACTAAAGATGAAAATTAGCCTTTTGGCTAACTGTGGCATATTGTCAGAAATGTAATTGATAGGCATTGTCCCTGTCATATACATAAAGTAAACTAGTGCGTGTATTATACGTTTATTGTTTATTACGTGTAAAAAAAAAAGAAGAAATACAAACAAAATGGATGCATTCGGGTCTTTATACGCTTTGACTGAGCTTTTTACCTGACTGACCGAACCTGGCAACCCCGGAGTCTGGCTATAGCGCTGAAAAACTTGTTGTTGTGGGGGAAAATGGCGTCAAACGTAGAGGCCCCGGAGCGCTGGTACCTCGCCCTACTCGGCTTTGCGGAGCATTTCCGAACCTCCAGTCCACCCAAAATTCGGCTCTGTGTGCACTGTCTCCAGGCTGTGTTTCAGTTTAAGCCTCCGCAGAGGATCGAGGCCCGGACACATCTTCAGCTGGGCTCGGTTCTCTACCACCACACGAAGAACAGCGAGCTGGCCCGCAGCCACCTGGAGAAAGCGGTGAGGGACGTTTGATCTGGGAAAGAGCGGGGATGCAGCGGAGAAGGGGACGATTGTAGGCCGCAGCAGCGAAAACAGCGAACGGCGGAAGTCTTTAAATAGCTGCCCATTCAGGAAGGCTACATTTGTGGAGAAGTTAAAATACAGTATTTGTTAGTGTTGTATTTGGTCAGCTGTATTGTTTAGTATTCGTCCCGACACGCTTTCGTTCTTTCTCTAGTGTTAATCAAATAAGCCGCTGTATGGGATTATTACTGCTTCATAAAGATTGCAAACACTGGTATGACGCCGCTAACATTTTCCATCTTTTGTTTTGCAGTGGTTTATATCGCAACAAGTCCCGCAGTTTGAAGATGTCAAATTTGAAGCTGCCAGCATTTTGTCTGAACTCTTCTGCCAACAGGTAAACCTTTTTAAAATAACGTTAACATTCATTATTTTCGTGAGGTTTAAGTGATGTTTGGTTATCTACATACATTCATCACTTCTTACCATCAAGTAAACTCGACAGGGTACTGGAAAGTGTTAATTTCATTGTGTTACATGCATGGTAGGCTGAACAATGTTGATCACTATTGATTATTAACTATTGATCCTACTATTGATCCTTCTGATCAATTTTCAGAATTTGGTGGACTCTGCAAAACCCCTGCTGCGCAAGGCCATCCAGATTTCACAACAAACACCGTACTGGCACTGCAGATTGTTGTTCCAGTTGGCGGTATGTATAAGTATAAACGTGTCCCGGTGGGGATGACATATTGTTTCACTCACTCAACTCATTTTCATATGCTGGTACAGAAGTGTTTTTAAATCAGAGCAGATTCACATCAGCCTTAATTAAAATATTGTAACTAGTCTGAGAACAGTTTCACTTTCATTTTGTATGTTTTTGCTAGTCTTGACTTTGTGTCCAAACAGTAAGCGAGTCACAAGTGATGACACCAATTTTGTATTGTCTCTTTCAGCAACTTCATACACTGGAGAAAGACTTGGTGTCAGCATGTGACCTCCTGGGGGTTGGAGCTGAGTACGCCAGAGTGGTGGGCTCAGAATATACCAGGTAAATGTCACTCAATCTACTACTGATTGCATATTTAAGGCTTTTAGGGGTTAGTATATGACACCTCCAATTTCATCAAACATTACTATTAATCTGAAGCACATAAAAACAAACTATTCCTAGCCCAAGTACAAGTAATTTGTCATTTTTGAGTCTCAGTCCATCCATTACACCCACAGTGATCCACTTTGCTTCTGTTTCTCTGTTCATGTAGAGGGGTTTGCCATTTTAAAGGCTATCTCAAACCAGATAATGGGAAGTGGACTATGAAACTCTTGGACAGCAAGTCTGTTTTGTTGCTTACTTCTCAGTCCCTCTACAGAAGTGCAAGTGTCACAGAATATATGACACATCATGTATGTTTATCAAATTAGATATCCTAAACCTAAGATTTGTTAAGCTACTTCGCAAATTAAAAATTTGACCTGTGGATAAAACTACATTTTCAAATCACATACACAAAACATCACTGAGTTCGCATTGCATAGAAAATAATGAATTCTCATTTTTTACATTTCATTCAACATAAAATGCTGCTGTTGTAAAACTTTTGTGATAGACACATTTTACCAGCTCTGAGAAAGTACATTTTAATATGAGGTTGTCTTTGATCCCTCAAACTGGTGCACGCTTGCTTCAATGCAACTGTGGCACAAAGTGTTTACAAATGTTGACTGAATGTAAGAACTTAAGAGGGAAAAACTGACCTGATGTTTTTGCTTTTTTTTTTTTAGGGCGTTGTTTCTCCTTAGTAAAGGAATGGTGAGTCTTCTGTTATACTTCACTTTATGTGTGCTGTTACACCATAATAGTATTGAAGCTTAGATTTTTTCCCAACACAGTATTACAATTTTTCCTCCATTTTTATGTGACTGCACAGCAAAAGCATAATAACACATGTATATACACAACAGTAATGGTGCCACCATTTAAGTTAAAAATTAACAAAAGCAACATCAAATTCTGTAAATGTTAATTTGGGTGATGTTTCTTCTTTTTTAGTTGCTGCTAATGGAGAGGAAGCTCGGGGAGGTGCATCCTCTGCTCACACTGTGTGGAACTATTGTTGAAAATTGGCAGGGAAATCCGATCCAGAAGGAGTCCCTCAGGGTCTTTTTCCTCGTCCTACAGGTCACACACTACCTGGATGCTGGACAGGTAGGGAATCCATTCTGGAAGAGTTAGAAAAAGTAGAGTTAAGTTGTAGGGGTTTAAATGACACAGTGTCTATTAACATATGGGGGTCAGCATGCATGCTTATATTGATCTTGGGGATATAGAAAAGGTGTCTGGGTGTAAAAAGCTACCGTGTGGTAAGAAATAATTGTTTATCGTGTCCCATGTCTCCCCAGGTGAAGAGTGTGAAACCGTGTCTGAAGCAGCTACAGCAGTGTATCCAGACCATCTCTACACTCCATGATGATGAGATTCTGCCCAGCAACCCAGCTGACCTCTTCCACTGGCTGCCCAAGGAGCACATGTGTGTCCTTGTCTATTTGGTAATGCCACTTCCCTCTTGCAAAACTTGCATATAGCCTCTTTAAACAACACCCTGCGTCTCACTTGCAAAATCATAAATATACACCATGGGACTTACAAAAGTTTTAGTTTTTTACCATGCACTTTATTAGGAATTAGTTTACGGTTTTAAATGCGTACTCTTTTTTTTTTTTTTTTTTTTGTCATTTTTCAGGTGACAGTCATGCACTCCATGCAAGCAGGCTATCTGGAGAAAGCCCAAAAGTACACAGACAAGGCTCTTATGCAACTAGAGAAACTAAAAAGTGAGTTATCCCACTTCCTGTGCATTTCTAAGAAAAATATTCATCATGAATAAGTAAATTATAAGTAATTGTGGTTTTTGAACGGTAAAACACATCTTTGCCACTTCTTTGTGTACATTTAAAAAAATATATCTTCATGTTTCAGTGCTGGACTGCAGCCCCATCCTCTCTACCTTTCAAGTCATTTTACTGGAGCACATCATCATGTGTCGACTCGTCACGGGCCACAAGGCCACTGCATTACAAGAGGTAAATTGTTTCTGTTTTCATGGTCAGTTATTGGGTTTTGTTGTATTTGATTTGTGACAATATGCGAAACATGCAGTCCAGCAAAATCCAACAGCATGAAGAGCTCAGTTATGTAGCATCTCACAAAAAAGTGCAACTATTTCCATGCTTCAATGGGCATGTGAAAGTGAACACTGGCTCTCTGTTCTGTCTGCCCAGATCTCACAGGTGTGTCAGCTGTGCCAACAGTCCCCCAGGTTATTCACCAACCATGCTGCTCAGCTTCACACGCTTTTAGTGAGTATTTTAAATATAAACCATCTTTCACATTTGTTTGTAGAACTGTGCTTGTCAGAAAGTTTAAAAAAAACACAGAAAGTTGGAGGACATGGCTAAATACTAAAACTGTTATTTTCCTATAATGTTGACTGAAAACAAATGTAATTAAGAAATATTTTC